TGAGAAAATGTCAAAAATTGAGAAAAAAATAATAAAATTTTAATCACAGGCATTAATCGTTGTTTCGAATGAAAAGAAATTGGCTTTTATCTCTACAAAATAAAATAAACAGTAAAGTAGTTTAGTTTTTTAAAAGGTCGAAAGTGTAATTACTAAAACAAATAATAAAATAAAATTTTAATTGCAACACATAGATTAATTATTTCGAATTTAAAAAGATGATTTTCATCTAAAATGGGGTTTGGAATGATCACTTGGCCCATCAAGAAAATTGACATTTAACCATTTAAGGGCCTAAAGCTAAAGAATATATAACGGGCAATTTGCATTTATACTACACGATTTTAAAAATATTATAAAAATACAAGATGCTAGATTTTAATTGCATGGTTATCATTTTCTATGCTTTTATTTGTTGCTCAAGCAAAAACTTCCGTTATGTTTTAACCCACCTCCTACAATCACGCAACCTTCCTACAATCAAGCAAAAAAATAGATTAAAAGATAAGGTAAGTGTATTTAACCCAATAATTAGAAATCTGTTCATAACAAATAGAAAAAGAGATATAATTAGGAATCTGCTCACCCTCATTCGAAACTACGGCGTCGCAGGTCGGCCAAAGTGTATATCTTATGTATATGTGGGGACTGGAATGAGATCCGCAGTTCAGGGATCGAGCGTATTTTTTAGGTATATTTTGTTTATATTTGGGTTCTGAAATCGATTTTGAAAAACGATTGAAACTCGAGCGTATAATTAAAGTATATTTTATGTATATGCGTGTCTCGATCTGTCGCTGGCTTAAATTACGAGAATCTCGAGTGTATATTTCATGTATATTTTATGCATATGTGTGTTGTACACTTTGGTATATAGGATATATACTAATAACATGTAAATTTTCTATAAATCATGTACAAAATTTTCATACCTGAAACACATAAACTTTCATATCCAAAAGAAAAAAAAGAAAAAAAAACAAATTTCTCAATTGTCGTGCGCGCCGGATTTGAACTTGAACATCGAGAGGTCGCGACTGGACTCCTTCACCGAGGTCTCTACGCGGTCCATCTTCTTATTCTTGGACGATTTCTTGAGAAGGGCCGCGGTGGTGGGGTTTGCATCGGCCGTCTTCATCGTCTCGAGCTTTTTGGAGGCTCTTGTCGATGGTGGACCTGATGGATTTGTAGGTTGTCGCCTTACTCCCAGCGGATCCGCCAATCAATCACTCCGCCGACCCATCTTATCTAAGCCGTTGTCGCCGTCTTCCACCGATCAGGAAAAAAAAAAGAGAGAAAGAGAGGGAGAGAGAAGACGGAGAAGAAGAGATATGGGTAGAGAGAGAGAGAAAGTGTCGTGATAAGGGGGAGAGAGAGATATGAAGGTGATAAGTCTACCTTTATCTTTAAATCACATATTAGTTGTATATTTAAATTAATTATTTTTATAAATCTTGTAATCTTGCAATTAATTTTATAAATATGGAAATATTGTAATAAAAAATAATATGTCTTGTATAGGGTGTAATTTCCTCTAAACACGAGTTGATCCGTGGGCCAAACACCCGTGATTAAACGGGCCAACAAAAACAGCAGTCGAAACCCACCTATATCTGAGGCCAACAGATCGGTCCACACAGGCTCTAGCCTGTTTGAACTAAGGATGGCAGCGGTTCGGGTTCGGATCGGATGGAACCTCAGGGCACCCAAAACCAAAACCCAAACTTAAAAACCAAAACCAAAACCAAAACTGTTTCGGGTAAAAATCTTTCACCAAAACCAAAACACGCGGATACCCAAAAACCAAACGGATACCCAAAAAACCAAAAATATTATAATAAAACACCAAAGACAACAACATAAAACATGATAACTTAGAGAGTACCAGACAACCAGTCACAAATTAGCAAGTACCAACGTACAGTACAAGCCATAAAGGTAGTAGAGTACATATCTAAGCCAAGCCATCACGGGAGACAGGGAGAGGATAAGAGGGAGAGGAAATTTCCACTTATATAGCTAGGGTTTTTGGTGGGCTTTTTGATGGGCCGTCTATTTTGGGCATCCAACGGAGCACCACGGGCGAAATATAGGATCCGCACCAAAACCGAAGACTTTCGGATACCCGAAACCGCAAAACCGTGGGTGAAATTTGAGAACCAAAACCGAAAACCGCAGAACCAAAAACCGCGGATATCCGAACCGAAACCGAACCGCTGCCATCCCTAGTTTGAACAGTACTATCCCAACATATTAAGACATCAATCATCAAAATCCACAACAGGTACCAAACAAGAAAATAAAGAGCCAAAAAGTTGGCCGAAAGCACGAGCCACAAGATACAAACAGAACTGATCAGAACAGTAGCTATAACAAAATCTCCATACATCATAAAACAAGAATTGCCTCTTCTTTTTTACTACAAAAAGAGCAGCAGCAAAGCTGGTCTCTAAAGAGACTGTGAAGTATGGAGTTGATCCCAACTCCAATCACACAACATTCCAACATAATGCATCATCAACAATGTACCTATCGACTCTGTTTAAAAAACACACAGCAACAATTAGGCATACAAGATCGATTTCGAGTCAAAGCAAACCTCATCACTCCATCATGGCATCATGCAAAATAATCACAAATTACCAGTTTCCGAAAACATAAAAGCACGACAACAAGGAAAATTCACATTTGCAGAATCCCTTTCGAGAGATAATTTATGACGGTAAACAAGTAATTTTCATACCACAAAAGTTGTTATGGACCTCACTAGTAAAGTGCTTCCCTTGATCATATCCATATTTTTAAAACGAATGGTAAAAGTTGCGCGTACTACTATGGTATTTTACCGTGAAAAGTTCGAGTCCCTTACTGAATGAGTAAACTGGACATTTTTCTAACAGACATACTTTCAGGCACCCAGCTCAAGTCAGGGATGAGAGGAGAAAGAAAACTAAACCTTCACGAAGCTGTTCTTATGTAATCGGTTGTAATCCAAACATGGTTCGGGCAACTCGATCGACTCGATTACTCGAGTAGCAAGATTGTAAATGAAAACCCGAAAGTAACACCAGCCCGAGAGAACAAACACCACAACCTCTGGATACAACAACCAAGCAACTGGCTTGAAGTCGACCACATCACGCCCGGAATCAGAGTCTTCAAACACGAGCTTCTGATCCTCCAACGAGAAACTCGCGACCTTTCTCCATTCCATACTGCCCGGTCTCATTTCCCAAACATCCCACAAATAATCTACGCGTTCGGCCAATAAGGTTAGATATTTCCCGGCCGGCAGATAATCCCACCGTCCCCCAAAAAATACGGGGACAGGCGAAGGCGCCTCTTTTACAGTCTCTGTCTCGATATCCAGAGTCAAGACATGACCGTCATCCCGAGCACACCAGTGGACAAAACCTCGAGTTGTAACCAATCGACTACTTTTTAGCGCCATTTTAGCCTCAAATGATATGTGTGCGGTAGTAAAACTCCTCCAACTGTCAGTATACGGCAGAGTGACTCCCCGGGAAAAGCAGCCACCACTTTATAAACCTTGGAAGACTCTGCGTACGCTATGCCGCAACGCCAATAGTCTATTCCACGAGGATGAGGGAGAACTAATCTATGCTTAGTCAGGGGATTCAGAACGCAAAGAGCCAAATTGCCTCGTGATCTTGCAACATCCAACACCAAGCCGTTGCAGCTGGCCTCAAGACGAGTTCTTACTAGTATGTCTTCCATCTTAGATATCTGTAACCGGCCATCATCCCGTGCGGAGAGGCACAACAAATGGTGTGCGGACTTGACGCGGAATAGAAGCGTGTGCTTTGACTGATGGAGGTGTGCGTATATGAACTCGTCGGAGCTGATCATCCGGTGCCACTTGCGGCAGACGAGACTCAGCCTTGCCGAGTCGTAGATGTCTTCAACCAATAGGATCACGAGAATTCGGGACAGGAGATCGTCGGGAAGCGATTCCATGCGCCTCGTCCTCTTACAGCACATCTGAGTTTTTTTTGCATAAAACTACTAATCTTGTTTCTTACATAGATTTGGCAGAATGACTTGTGTGGGTTGCACAAACAGTGTCGGGTATTGTTGAGTAAAAGCTCCAGTGTTCAAGTCAGTGGAGATGATATAATTGTTTGTATATTAGAGTGCGTAGAGTTGGATTAATCATACATCACTCTTATATATAGCGGTATTATCTTGTTGCTCAAGCATGCTCGATTTTGTGTTGCCTGAGCTACCCTATCGTATTGCCAGAGTGCCCAAACTGTCCAATTTCGTTAGCCCACGTGGTCCTATACACGTGTCCTTATCTTACTTATATTCATTCTTATCTATTGTGTGGTGTGTTCACATTAGCATACCTCATTAGGTAGCCTAATTGTCCTATTAACTTGGTTTTATTTGAACTAGGTCGCTCTATCCGTCAAAGAGTAAGTTTATCTCTTAGGTCGTACATCAACTCATAGGCCTCTAGGTCCAGTTTCTATCAAGCTAGCTGAGAGCTCTAATTCGACATACTGTCGCGTTGCTTCGCATATGAGGTCATCATATTCATGATGTCTCCACAACCTCTGACGCCCTTGCTTTCTGACGAACTTGCTGATTCTCTCAATCCGGTTGAACCGCTATTAGGTCGTACGCGACCTAATTATGTTGGTATGGTATCACATATAAAATTTCATTTCATACTGGTACGTAAAAGACTTTCGATCGGCTGAGCTCGAACTGATCTACTTTCTTGGTCGATGAACAACCTTCAAGACCTGCAAAAACTCAACACCGGGGGGTTTCAAGTGAAGAACATCTGATTCTTAAGTTAGGGTTTTGCAGGAGATGATGAATAGTATATTTTCTATGTAAAAAGTGTCAACAAGAAGAGACTTAACCTACCATACCCTTTTATACAAGGGTGTTGTGTCTTGTACTCGAAACTTGCTTGAAGAGTTGACTTAACTGCCCGTCAGTACGACCTGCACTGCCTCAGGCGCCAGACTTGTCAGGTGGTCAGACAACCCAATCCTATAGCAACACGTGGTCCAATCATTGAACACTGCTGCTCCCAAGTTAGATGTCTTTTTGTCCGTTCGTCTTCTTTATCAGACGGTCTTACCATAAGACCAGCTCCACGTCACTAGATAAAACGCTCCCCACCTGACTCATTCACTATGTATAGAGGTCGATTACTCGACAAGGCCTTCCACATGTTGAGACATCCTCAGGCCATGGGGTACTTCCTCGACCTGTGTACCGTATTGTGCTTCTGTTGGCCTAAATATCCGTTGTTAGACCTCCAGCTTTGTTCATTTTACTGGCTTACCCGGTCTAGTAGCTTAAAATTGCATAATAATAATAATAATAATAATAATAATAATAATAATAATAATAATAATAATTTAATATTTTTTTAACTAACTAATTGGTGTGGATCCTTAAATTTGTAAAATTACCTTATTCATTATATTTTATGTCAAATTTATGGTGATTCATATACAAGTAAAACAGTCTTATCATTATATTGTTCATTTTTACTGATGATCAAATTTATAAATTATGATGTGCATATTGCATAACATATAATTAGAAAAATAATATCCATATATGCGCCTTATAGTAATTTATTTGTATGTATTTATTTGTATTTGTACATGTACACACTACTTGTAAATTGTAAAGTATAACGTTGTTATCTTTATATCTTGTCTCTGATTCCATTCATCAATAAGCATTTTCATATCTTCAATATTCCTGTAATATTTGTATATACCAAGGTTGTAATATTTGTATATACCAAGGTTTTAAATAGCGGGCTAAAACGTTTATGGCACTGTAGTTATAGCGGAGCTATAACGGAGATTTAGCGGGATTTAGCGGCTAAATTGCACATGAATACAAATAGCGGCACGCTGCAAAACAAAAAAAAAAAAAAAAACTATTTTTCAAATAGCGGCAACTTTAGCGAGCTATTTATTTCCTTGGTATATACAGTTGTATAATGCAGAAAACAAAACAAAGGAGAAAAAGAAGAAAACAGGCATCTTTACAATAAATAAAATGAAAAAAATAAAATAAAAAAAAATTAGAAGGAACTTCCCGAGTCATTTTACAGTTGTCTGTTAAGTACAAGCACAGATTCTCCTGTGCAGCCCACAGATTCAACATCAACAGAAAAATTACACAGTGAAAATGTGAAAAAAAGGGGCTCCCACATAACATAATCAGTCAAAAACCAGGAAGAAGGTTAGAAGAAAAGTAAGAACAAAAACCATTCATTTAACAACAACGATCACGACGAACAGCACCCACCTTTTCTACTCTGTTGGGCTTCGCTTTCCTTATTCTCATCGCCTCGTAAAACAATCGTAGTTTTTTTCCCATTCTCCATCCACCCGGGATCTTTCATTTTGAATTCTTGAGACTGAATGACTTTTCTGCTCAAAATACTGAAAATCTCCTTCACAACAGTCTGAAAGGCTGACGCTACATTAGAGGAGTCGAGGGCCGAGGTCTCGATGAAGAAGAGCCCTTGAGACTCAGCCAAGGCTTTGCCCTCGCCAGTTGTCACTTCACGCGCATCCCTCAGGTCCGATTTGTTGCCCACCAATATTGTCACCACATTCATATCTGAGTAAGCTGTTCAGTGATAATAATTGTTACAAATTTAGTTGAAACATTTTTTCATTTAGAATCACAAGAGCCACAAAAAGTTAATTATATATATAAGTCACTTACTATGGAGTTCGTTAAGCCATCTACCAACACTTTCAAAAGTTCGACGCCTGCTGATGTCATAGACAACGAGTGCCCCAACAGCGCCTCGGTAATAAGCGGAAGTTACAGCCCTAAACCTCTCCTGGCCAGCAGTGTCCCATATCTGTGCCTTAACCTCCTTGCCGTTAATTTCCATTTTTTGGGTCTGAAATTCCACGCCGATTGTTGATTTCGAGTTAGGATAAAACTCATCCCGAGCAAATCTGGCAAGCAAGTTCGATTTACCCACAGCCGAGTCACCAATCAGAACAATCTTAAAAAGGTAATCCTCTGTTTGTTGTTCTCCGGCATTATAAAAGGCCATTTGTCTCTTAAAGCCTTTTCTAACATACACACAAGTGCAATTATGAGTTCTTTGTCAGATTTTGATTCGGTAGCCCTTCTGGATGAGGTGAAGGGCGAAAGCACCTGCATTGTCGTTAAGGAAGCATTAGAAACCGAAACCACATGCAGGTTTAGTGAATATCTTTTCCTTGGTATAAGGTGAATCCATCTTTCATAGCTTTACGAAGAAAGAAAAAGAAAAATTTGGAGTTTTCTTGGTATTTTCTAACTTAGACACGTGCATTGCTTTTCCAAGCACTTCCTTACATATATTATGCCTGTTTACTTGACGTTGCCTCCCCATTCCTTTCTCATATTATTTCTATTATTCCCTACTTGCCCTCTGAATTCCTCTTCTTTAAAGACCTGAAGAGAAGAGTTTCAAAAAAGCTCAACACTCATCGTAACTCCATATACAAAGATATTTTTAACATAAAACACAACAAATTAAGTTATACGGAAGACACACAAACACAATCACACACACACACAGAGTTTTATCAGAAAAAATATTATTCCAGAGAGTTATATAGGCCACCTCAAAGACAAATAATAGCAAACAGAACCTTTATGTTTGGTGTTATGGATGCAGGCTATTCAATCAAATCAAGAAATTGCATATAATGGCGTTTCACATTATCTAATTAACGCAAAGTTTCGCAATATAATATACCAGACGATGAAAACCTTATTCTCCTCATATTTGCAAAAAAATTAAGGTGCATCCAGATTAATCGAATCGCACTGAAATCTTTCTTGGATCAACCCAAAAGTCATCTAGTGATTGGTAAAAAGAAACTAAAAGATAATAATACCATGATCTACAATTGAACGGAACTTTCAAAAATCCAGTTCATTCATCGTAATACGAGCAATCCGAACCCTCAGCGACTATGAACAAAGCATAATTTAGCAAGAACACTTATCACACAATCAAAGACAAGTGGAGTTCATCATAATTCAGGTGTTAGATACAACACGAATATTCTTCTAAACAATGCATGTTCAAGAAATAACCATATTCCCAAATAACTGCAGCTCATGAGAAAAATTCCAACCACTTTCAGCTCACAATAATCAACAGGAAAAACAGTTTCCCCACAAAAGCTCGAAATAGTATCGTCTTGCAGAGCTCTTACAACAGGTAAAATCGAAACAATTCAGTAGAATCTTCATTTTTCAATATCAAACTGTGGTCCTAATCTTTCTTTCTTGTGGCCCATGAAAGAAAGCTATCATATTTAACTTCAATATCAGAATAAACCAAGATTATAAAAAATTAAAAAAAAAAAAAAATACATTCAGCTAAATCAAACACAAGAAACAAAAGGGTTTCACGAAACAATCTCCATTTTCACGAACATCCCACAAAAATGCAACAAGACAGATGAAAAATGGCCGACTAGAGAAGAAAAAAGCAAAAAAAAAAAAAAAACATAAAAAAGCAAAAACTCAATGAAACAGAAGAAAACTGGCTGACCATTAAAAATGGAAATGAAAAGCGCACCAGCTTCTTGCAGAACGCGAGCTTTCCTCTAAAATCTTCGGCTCCCGAAAGCTCTAATGGTCAAATCAGAACCGTTAAAATGCAGATCAAATAAGGAAAAAAAAAGAAAAAAAAGAACAACATTCACACGTAGCTGAGGAGAGACAGAGAGAGAGGAGAAAATCAAATCAGTCTTTCAACGGTTATGGGTTTTGGGGGAGACTAGGTTAGGTTTCACGATTTGATGAAAGATAGCGAGAGATTTTACAGTTTGGGGACAGTATTAATGGCGGAAGCAGAGAAGGACGGGTCGGGCCAAGATTTGGTTAAAGCAAAGCTTTCGGGCCCCCAAACCCAAAATATTAGACTGGAGATTGAATTGTATTTATTATATGTCGTTGACATCAAAATCAATTAAAAATTAACTAATATTTGTAGATGTAACGCTAGTGGGTGTGTCACGGACTCGGATTCGACTCTATGACTTTGAGGACTTCACGCATATTTAGATTTAGATATTAGAGCATTCACAAAGTTATATCCATCTATCCACGCAGTATTACAGTCCCGTTACGAAACTATTCGATCAGGTATTTTAACCGTTAGATCATCTATCTTATACTAACTACATGTATATGCAAGTTATAACTCCCGACAATATGTTAACAGGACCGTAGTATTTTCTTTTTGTATTATTGGGGTATCAAATATTAAATAGAGTATATTAATTTTAATATCAAATTTTAGAAAATTGAATAATTATATTTACTAACTATCAACTTCTCAATAACATAAAAGTTAAGTCTACAAGTTTAAGTTTTGTTTTTTTAAGCAAATAGCCAAATTCTCTTTTATTTTATATATTTTTGTAGTTTTATTTATCCCTGATCGGCATTTTACTCGAGATCTCCAGTACAACTCCAATACAATCCATTGGATCGTGAATCTGGTAGCTTGTGTTTATCTATGTTGGAAGTATCAGTTGTTAAATTTGAGTTTGACTCAGTTTTGACTGAATTTTTGATAGATAAATATTTAATTCTGGTGGAATTAAATTGTGCAAAAAAACTCTACGTTCCGAGTAAATACCGTATTATATTTATTTCTCAAAATTGGTTTTCCCTTAATGAAAAATAAATAATTAAAATTAGTCATAAATGAACACGTAAAACGATGGTTATGAATTATGACATTCAAATGACGGAAAATGCTACGGACGGAACTATTCCGTCAGAGTTTGTAACCGTTAAATCATCGTGTAACCGTCGGAAATAATTGATCCAACTGTTACAAACTCACATGTTCTGCATACATATATCATAATTAATATCTTTGTTTCTCTACTTTTAATTGTATCCTACTGATTGCCCTAGCTAGCACGTAGACTTTTTAACATAGTCTGTTGTCTACCTACTTTAGCCTCTCCATTCTGAGCATCAATTGGTACTTGATAGTGATTTTCAATAATTAGAAAGATTTGAAAAAAAA